TGGATCAAAACAACGTTTCACCCATCTCAAAATTGTTTTACTATAGAAATACATTGAGAATGATTTTTACAATAGAATTACCCATCTTTGGTGAACCTAAACAACGTTTCACCCCTGTTTTCTATTTACAAAAGCTTGTTAGGTATGTTGCTTATTTTGCCTTCAGCCTCTAGCCTTTAATGCCCTGCAAGTGTCAAATTCTCCAAGCCCGCTTTCCTAATTATGTGTTCTAGATGTTTCAACTGTCTCTTTCTGTTCTTAAGCAGAATTGTCTTTTTCCCTTCCATTTTCTTGTAAAAGTCCTCTTTGCTCGCATTTTCTCTTCATACTATTCTCAGCATTGTTTTGCACTTCTTCATTCGTGATGAAACTGTCCAGCATTCAATATAATATATTCGTATTACATAACGGTTGTATTTGCTTCTAACGAAATGTTTTTCTTTTTTTAAAACTTTGCTTAGCTTTTGGAAGGCATCTTTCTCTATGGCAATGGTCCTAGAGATTTTTGTGTTACATAATCCCTCATGTTTTTTAACACTTCGCAGATTACTTAAATGCCTGTACTTGCTTAATTTTGACGTGGTGATCCCGGAATAGATTTATACGATTTTGGAATTCGGTCATATTTAAATCACTTTAACCATATACAATGGAACATCGGGACAGGAACGCCTCTAATCATGAAGAAATCGGTTCGCGAATTAATAAAAACGTCGCAGGTGAAAAACGTTGTCTCGAGCGACAAACACGCAAGCCGGGGATAACTTGCAGCAACAAACCTGGAGTATCGGCGGGAGAGCGTCAGTTACATTGTAGTTTTCGTTCCATACGCATCTCGTTTCGAATTCGCCGGGACTTCTCTTGATTTTCACTGGTTTTCTTTTTGGTTTGTTTTTTGTTTTTTTTTTATATAAATTATTAAATAAGACGCCATGAATAAGGATATCGAGGCCAGCAAAGTGAAAAACAAAAAAACAAACGAATGACCAGTATCACGGGATATGTGGAGAACGAAATCATAGTCAGACATGAAAATGGTATTTGTGTCTCTCATCTTCGTTTTGTATATGAACTTGTACAAAAATATTGTTATAAAACTTTAAACAAGCAAAATCATGGCGTCCAGAAACCGATTAATCCATTTTACATTGATTTCTATTGGGTAAATATTTTCGGTTTACGAATATTTCGGACCACGAACGGCCTTCAGGAACGAATTAAATTCGTGAAATTCCACTGTATTCGTAGTTAATACATCCTAACAAAATAACTTGCTTGGTTGATTCTGTTTAGCGGTATATCAACACCTCTATGGGTCATTTAATACCGAAATCTAAATTATTTGAGCGCAATTAGTATGCCTTCAACTACAGCTAAAATATATTGCTGGTTATATATTGTCGATGTTTTTTTATATAAAATTGTATTGCTGGTATTTTTACTATTAAAAAGTATTTTTATCCTTTCATAATGTTTTTATGTGGAGTGGGTCACTATTTGCCCAAAGCTGGGACTCTAACAGGTTCTACCACCCCGGGTCAGAGCGGACCTGGGAACAACAGCAATTAAGAGATGGTTCCAGGTTTCTTAAAACTTCCAATCTTCCGATCAGAGGCCTTGCTGCCGGATGTAGTTAATCGTCATACCCAGGACTAGCAAAATAACTGTCACGAGAACAAAGAATTTCATTCTTTCATTTAAAACATAGTTAATAATTTGTACTGCACTTTATTAATTAGAAAGTTTTTAATTCTCTCCGATTGCCAATAACATCCACCGAGACGTGTCGCCGAATTTTCATAGAAACATTTCGCTTCCGTCTGTCTTTGCTCTAAAATGCTAGTTCCAAAACATTTCGGGCTGCTGTCGCCTCTTTGTCTATCACGCCATATTCATAACGCCCCCACATAGAGCCAACACGGACTTCTTTCTTTGTATAAGGTCTACTGAAAATTAAAAACACTAATCCAATACTGAGTCTGTGATCATACGACCCTATATCTGTGAACCTTGCAAACGTGAAAATGCGATGGACATCCTTCCCCACACTGTCTACTGTCGGATATGGCTGGCGCCTTTACTGTCCAGACGACGTCATCAAGATTAAAACGAACGTTTCGATTTTTAACTCGGTTTTCGGTATACAATATCAATATTCATCATATTTTCGTGTATGTCTTTGTGATAATTTTATTCTTTACCTAAAAAAAATGGTTCTTATTTGGGAAGGATATTAGAATAATCCAGGAACTATAATGGCAGCAAACTGTCTGGATACGAATAGAAAATGAATGCAGTAGATATACCAAAATAGAGAGGGTTATAAAACAAGCCTGTGTCTTCTCACCTGACTTATTGACTCTATACGGTGAGGTGACTCTGAGAAAATGAGAAGACCTACCAAGATTCATTATTGTCGGCCACAGTCTGAGCAACATAAGATATGCAGACGACACAGTGTTGATAGCAGCTACAGCAAGGAAACTACAAGATCTTCTGTAAAAGGTAATGAAGGAAAGCAAGAACAAAAGCCTAAACATATGAATCTCCATAGATTTGCTTAAGGTTTAAAATGAATTTTAAATAGTGAAAATCTTTCTTGAAGGTTCTATTTTAGCTTGGATTTCAAGTTAAGAGATTAAATTTAACATTTATAATCAACAAAATACTTTGTTCTATTTGAAAACTAATTTACATTAAAAGAATGGAGATTTTTTGTGTTTGGTCTAAAAAAATTTAATCCCCATTTATTGCAATATAATTCTCTTTATTAAAAAATCTTTCTGAAACATTACTTGGAATTATTAACTGATTTAAAGCATAATTAATCTGATTTGAAACAACTATTATTTGTTTAAACTTTAAATATCGCAGAAATGCCTTTTTTTAACCTGACGTTAGCGGTTTATTTAAGGTGTTGACACGCAGACAGTGTGATGACAAATACAATGTTGTTTTACAAGGACTGTAAAACATAATTGAAGGAAATGACGTGAGTGTCTTTTTTACATAATTTTCAAGTATTCAGTTATCTTAAAAAATTAAGCAAACTATTTTCCATAATCTAACGTTTTATTTAATTATAGGCACTATGGCTTTAAATTTACTATAGTTATCGTTCTTATTTTATCATAATGTCATGTATGGTCGTCCGTATTTACAAAAATCGATACATTTATGCACATACAAGAAAAAAATCAAAATTCTTTTTTAAAATATTGGTATTTAATGATTTGTATTAAGGTTTTCCATTTAGTTTTTACTTAATAATAGCATCATGTAAGAGTGTGAAATAAATACAGAATTTTTAAAGATTTTTAAACTTTATGAATTATTTTGGGTTTGGTTTGTTGCGTTTTACGGCACAGCAACTTCAATGGGTCATTTAATGCCGACAACTTTTATTTTTATTTTTTTTTTTTTGGTAATATTTTGTTTTGTCAAAAATTATTTCTGGTAATATTTTTTCCTCAAAAATGTATAGCTGGTAATATTATTTTTAAACATGCATACGTTACACACATACACACACACATCCTGCCTTATATATATATATATATATATATATATATATATATATATATATATATATATATATTTTACGTTCTTACTTTGCTTCTCTAACTCGACTTGCCTTTTAATAACGACTATGTAGACATGATCGTTGCAACACTTGAAAATCGTCGGTTCTTTCTAATTAGAGTAGAGACCAAAAGAATTAGAGCACAAGAAAAATCTGAGACCAGCAATGGCAGAGAGACAAAGGTTATTTATTTAAGCAAATATATATTGAAGATGTGGAGAGTAATAATTGTTCACATTCTGAAAGGACTAAGCATATAGAATGGTATGCTCATGTGTTTGCTCACGTATTCGTTATTGTTAATCAGGACACAGGATGATAGTTGGAAATTACATGAAATTCTTTTGAATCTTGGAATAACTATTAACTTATATTAGGTTACGAGTGCGACTAGCACCATGTAAATCAGCTCTATTTGCCACATTGTTGGGTCATTAGTGACTAAACCTGGTTACCCCACCAGGCTTTTGCTGGTGAGGAGGGTGGGTTGAAAATAGTACGAAAAAAGAACAAGGACGGATAAATATTCTTGTATGGTCAGCGGACACCAAATACAAGACCAGCATTCACAGCTATGGTGATTTTCTAGCTTAGATGTGACAAAAAGCCGAAAGTACGGGGTACCCAATGAGGATCAAATTATCCAGTCGAAATTGATATAGCGAGACAAGATTGTTAACCATTACACCACGTCGAAGTGTCCAAAATGTTCTAAACTTAGATTAGACGTGGGACGAGGCCGAGAGCACGAAGTGAGGATCGAACTCATCCCTCAGATAGTAACTGCTCTATCTAGAAATCTTGCTTAACCATTACCCCACGTCGAAGTGCCCTGAACTCCGCAGCTATGTATGCAGTCAGTGCGATGATGAAACGGCTTTACTGGGAGAGAGGGCGTCCTAGACTGAAGTCAACGGCCACTGTAGAGGGTTCCTTCTCCCCCGATAAAATCTACGATCACGTGTCCAGGTCAAAGTTGGAGATTATCGGTTGAGGTTTGACCTAGACTCCAGGAGATGTTTTTTTTTTTTCTTTTCTTTTTTTTCTGTTTAAACGTTAGAAACAAATTCAAAATAATCTTGATAACTCCAAAAATGACGTACTCGGCATGCAAATATTTCATAGTTTTCTGAACTCATGTCTACGGAAGCCATATTTTAAAATGATTTATTCCACTATGAAACCGTTTCATCTTAAACTTTGACGAGTTATTTATCATGTTCTTGTCAGTTTTTATCACAAATTTCTATTACGAATCTACGAATATTAAAATAGTCTGAAGTAAAAACAAAGACGTCACTTTGGATGCGACACTATAGATTTGCAATGACATATTGATCGATCAATTGGACAAAACATCATAATTTAAATGCAGTATAAATAAACTACTGATAGCAGCCAATGACAATTGGAAGTTATGCATTACAAAAGGCTCGGTGAACAAGTTTTACCTTCGTTTTTGCACGATGTGACCAAATTCATAAGCCATCATTTTCCCGAGTATTTTTCTCGTCGAAATTACACAATGCGTTGAGTATTTCCTGTTTATTTTTGTGTTCTATCATAACGTCTTTATATAAGATGATGCATTGGTTTTATCGGAAATCTTTACCGTATTGAGCACATTTTACTGTGATACATGTGCCTAGTATAAACGTATCCGACTGGGTGTCATGATGGATATATATATATATATATATATATATATATATATATATATATATATTTTAGTTTGAAAAAACTAGGTAATCCGTATGGGTAAACCTAAAGAGGATAAAATCCAGAGAGCTCAATGTAAATCCAGAGCAAATAATTTAAATAAAAATAGACCACTTTAAGTTTCCATATATATATATATATATATAAAAGGCTCAAACACTAATATTTCATGGTTATAATTTATTACATTGGAATCGTAATCACGATCCAATATATATATTAAAGACATTTTTATGTTTAACGTTCTTTTTATAGATACAAGTATTTAAGTAAATGCTCTGTTTATAATAAACAGTATTAAATAACATTTACCGGCCTGAATGTCCGAGAAATTTTCATAGAAAATATTCGTTCTTTGACAGGATTCGAATCTGCATCCTATACGGAACCGTCATTTACGCTGACGTGCCTTACCGATAGGCCACAAAGAAGCGTTCGGTAGACAAATATTACTTAAATACTTGTATCTATAAAAAGAACGTTAAACATAAAAATGTCTTTAATAAATAAATTGTCGGACTTTGTTCATTTCTTAATATATATATATATATATATATATATATATATAATCATATTTATATATATGTATGTATGTATATTAATCCAAGCAAAGGCAGTAAAGCCACTAAGACACAAGTTGTTAGTGGGTGTGGATGAATTTGAAAACAAAAATATTACTAAGATACTTGAACAAAAGAACAGTGATCCGGAGGGCAGCAGAAAGCGATTGACATTGCATTTAAAATTTTAAAGATTAAAGTTGGCTGGAAAGCATAGAGCCAGGTGAGAGATCTACAAGTGAGAAGTGCAAGAAAATAAACAGCATAGAACATACGGTTACATCTAGCCAATTCAACTGTAAATTGGTGAGACCTTGTCGATAGTCTTGTAGTTCGCTTTAATTCATAAAGTCTAGGTACCATCGCGACGAGCAATATTTATTTGTAAATATTTATAAAATGTGGCACAAGGCCAAAATGGGGGAATGGAGAAAAGGTCTTCATCTGTCTTAACATTGAACTTATCCAGCCACAAAAACTGACCCAAACATAGCACAATATTCTTAACACCAAAACAACACTTACCTTTTTTACTACTTACACCATAATGCCACATTGTCTCTATGAAAATCCTAACTAGTCCCCATATATACAATTCATTGTCTCTAGAGGAGGGGAATAAAACAGCAATTTAAAAAACTAGCCCCAATGAGTATTTACAATATGAGAACAAGAGTATTTACAAGAAACTAAACAAAATAATCTACATAGCGAACAGCGATATTTATTTGTAAATATTCACAAAATGTGGCACAAGGCCAAAAATAACCTATATTCATCTGTATTAAGATTAAACTTAGTCAGCCACAAACACTGATTCAAGCATACTACAATATTCCTAACACCAAAACAACGCATTCTTACTTACGTTTCATACTACATGCACCATAATACCTTATTGTCTCTATGAAAACCCTAACTAGTCACCATATGTACTATTCATTGTCTGTAGGAGGAAGGGAATAAAACAACAATTTAAAAGCTAGTACCATGGCGATAAGCTTATCTGGACAGTTGCCATGAAAGTATTTATACAAAAAGAAGAGGGAGGCAATATTATGGCGGTGGGAAAGTCACTGAAGACGAGACGCCAGATCAGGATCAATAATATGGCCGATTCTTCTTTGGAAATATTGGGTTTAGTATATGTGTATATCTTTTAACATGCTGCACTCTCACTCAACAATAATAATAATAATAATATCTTAGGAATAATCCAAACGATTACCATGGTAGTATTAAATTACACAGTGTAATCCAAATAGCGCTGGTGATTTAAGGAGATTAGCTGACATTTGATACCTGGGAAGCTGGAGGAATGCAAATAATAGAAATCTTTCATTGTGAATAATGCTTGCGACGATGTCGACCTTATTTTGCTGATATTCAAGAATAATTCCAATAATTCTCGTAATTCGGAACGATTGATTTGGAAGTGGTTCTCTGAATTCACTAATTGTTTCGCGAAAATCAAGGACTGGCCGGCTGTAAAAGGAACCGGCGAATTAAACAGACTTTATTGCCACTTTGTTTACATTTGCTTAATACTAATCGCCGTCAAAATGAGGTATGCGTTGTTTTTTTTTGGGGGGGGCGGGGGTTGCACGTAGTCGCGAGTTTGTGTGTGAGAAAGAGAGAGAGAGAGAAAGAGTAAGTGTGTGAGTGAGAGATCGAGAAAGAGAGGGAGGGAGAGAAAGAAAGAGCGCATTTCGATTTTGTGGATTGAATTGGAAGGACTCGCGCTATTACAAATGCATTAGGTTGTTAGATTTTCCTCTTTTTGTGGCTTCTCGATCACATTAATCATAAATAATCACGCTAATATAGTTTTCTATCTATCTCTCTCTCTCTCTCTCTCTCTCTCTCTCTATCTATCTATCTATCTTTTTAGATCTTTTAGTATCTATCTACCTTTCTTAATATTTTAGTATCTATCTTTCTATTTTTTATCTTTTCGTATCTATCTATCTATCTATCTATCTATCTATCTATCTATCTATCTATCTATCTATCTATCTGTATGTCTGTCTGTCTGTCTGTCTATCTATCTATCTATCTATATTCTATCTATCTCAGTCATTTCTTATACATTTATCTTATACATTTTATATCTATTTATATCGAGTTATGAAGAATTTCCTTTTTGTTCAGGAATTTATTCCCTAAAATATTACAATGGTTCCTAAAACAGAAAATACTTATAACAATATACACTCCTCTCTTTTTTTTATCTTTCTTGCTAGCTATCTATTCACATTTAACTACGTCTGTTCTTTATCTATCTATTTATCTATGTATGTATATCTGTATGCATGTATCTATCTATATCTTTGTCTATCTATCTATCTATCTATCTATCTATCTATCTGAACTCTTGTATAACTCTCTGAGAACTCCCTGTGTCTGTCTCCGTATCTCTCAACCTGTCTCAACGTATCTCGTTATTTAATATCCCACCCACGAGGAATATATGTGGCACAAGGCCGAGTTTAAAGTGGGTTTCTCTGAGCCCGTAGGCTCGGCCAAAAATATAGCCTTTTTGAACCCGCCTAGACGAGTTCAGAGCCTGTCTATCTCCCCGTACGAAACCTTGCCCTTCAGCAAAGCTTCGTTCGGGTTCCTTTCTGCTAATGCAGAGAGTTCGACAGACGTCGAGACAGTATCACGACGGATCTCAACAGCAGGTATTCTCTCTGTCAGTACAAGTATACTTTGGACGAGTTCATCTTATGTAAAAAGGGGAGAGCCCCACAACACAATTCCAAATATTTAGATTTTTATTTTTTATGTAATCTCGAAGCCTTTATACACCAAAATAGGAAAGGCGCCTACCGTAGTATTATACAAGTTTCACTTATCTTTCGCTAAAAGAGCTGAAACAGTCCGTCCTATACGTGATGCTAAAACATAATCTTTATTGTTTCAGTTTTCGCTATCGCGTTATTATTTGATTTTACGGCTTAAAAACCGTTTGTGATTTATTGAAAGCTGAAACGTACTTTTTGGGGGACTGTAAGAATAATTCTTTTTCCTTTTGCGAGTGGGTATTGTATTTATACGTTTTGAGGATAAAAATTATTTTTCTTCCTCAATTTTAATTCATGCATTTCCCAAGGTTATTTGCGCAACGACTGTAATTCGAACTTAGCTCTCTACACATACCATATTCTTAGCGCACACACACACACACACACACACACACACACACACACATACATATATATATATATATATATATATATATATATATATATATATATATATATATATAAGGCGTATATTTTGGCAGCTTGTATTCATTAAGACATGTCTCATTAAATAGACAAGTTTTGAGTACTTGTTTTAATTACGGACAAGTTTCTTAGAATCCTCATTAAAGAAATAAATAAAATTACCACGTTGATGCATATTCATTTTATGTCGAATACTTCAGATATCAGCACAATGTCATCATCAGGGTCTTGTTTTTTCTAAGACAAAATTGTGTTCATCTGAAAATTAAATTATGTTTTTTTTGTTTAAATATTTAGACATTTCAGTATCTTAGTAACCTCCCTTGATGTTTTCACGTGTGTCTACAAGATAAAATTAAAAAAAAATATGCAGTGCATTCTAAGTGGCTCGGATTAAGGAATCGAATCCATTACATTCACTTACGTACTATTACCCTTGGAAAAGGTATGAATCCTCTTCTCCCCCCCCACCATCAGCTATGGGTAAATAGCAAGACAGACCGGGTTCTATAGCCTTAGATGGCAACTGGTCTACCGCGGAAAGAAATGACAACCTACTCCGGGAAAAAAATCTGCCTCGTCAGTCATGTATCGAAAGATACATGATCGCCTAAGCGTGTATCACGCATGACACATAACTGACTGATATAAACTTCTGTGATTTCCGTTATTCAGTTCGTCACACCCTCTAAAATAGCCATACATTGAACAATCGAAACCCAATTTTGGGGAGAAGTGCAAACAGGCAAGGGTGTTTACTAGGGTACGTAGCTTAGTACAATAATCTTTTTAGGGGGAAAATTAAAAGTATTATTATTTAACATAGAAAATATTCATACTATTTTAAAAGAAATTTAATGATTAAAATAACAAATATTTATTTAATTTTTGAGCTGTTAGGCGCTCACTCGTTGTAACTTTCGTTATGTCAACGAATGCTCATTATAACTTCCGAAATGTTCGTTGTAGACGAGACTTTTGCACGCAGATATTGGTAGCAGTAAATCCTTCCTATAATAATACTCGTGCTAATAATACTTGTTCAAATAATAATCGCCGAATAGTAATTTTTATAAGGATCAATATAATGATCAGTATAGAGAATAATGATCATTTAGACGTCACGCTAATTCCCATTTATATGTTTCATTTACGATCGCTTGATCAAATTATTTAATAATAGAATCGTAAGATTGTAAGAAGGTTTTTGGAGATAAAAATGATTTACAATCTAAAATATTTTCTGGCTTTAAATAGCCTGCAAAAGGTTGATAAGCGATAAAAACCAAATCAACAAATAAAAAAAAAACTGATAAGGAAATAGTTTATTCAATTATTAGTTATGGTATTTTTTTTAAAATTGCCGATTTGAGTAATTACTGATTCTACTCTAGTTATGGAACTACTGAGATCTGCAACAAGACTGAGAAATATGGTGGAAATTTAAAGAGAATTGCTCTCATTCAATCAGCAATGACCATCGTCAAGTAATGAAATATAAATTAAATAACTACTTACATCTCTAAAAGAAAGCACAGATACTAAACTCTGCTCTTAGGCAGCACGACCGGTGCAAAGGCCTCTTGCCCGCTCCAAATCTATGATACGGAACCCAACTCTACTACATCTCAGTTGCCCTAAGGTATTATTCATATGAAATACAAATTTTACTATAATGTACAATAATCGATAACATGAAATATAGTTGAACAATTCAACTAAAAATAATGAAAATAAATACGATTATCTGGATGCAAATTAGAGGTATGTCATAATAGATCATTTCATCTTAAATAAATCAACAATGTTTTGCGGCAGTTTGTCACATCAACTTGAGATTTTTCTTGTTAAAACGTTGAATAATTTTAACATATCCAACATTACAGACAAAAATAGTGAATTTCATATAACGTTTTTTCGAGCTTTGTCACGGGGAAAAAACAAATTCACGGAAATAACAAATCCAAGAATGACGTCAAAATCTGAGAAATCTTTTCATCGTTTAATCTTCATTTGTGCTTAGTTAAATTTCTAACGTATATAAATGTAGGTAAAAATAAGAAAACGTTGATATGATACCAAGGGTCATAAGACACTGCCCAGGGCCCCCAATTAGGCTTACACCCTACCCTGTCTAGGGGTTCGTGGGTGATACGCATCGACTCGGCGAACTAGCAAGGCGGGAGGCGACGCTTTGAACTTAGACAGAATGCACAGATTTTCTGAAAGTCTGTATAAGTGCCAATCCATGCATAATGTATTTGGTTCATTCCATCATGGTTGCCGTGAATTTCCATTTGCGTACCCACAAGGGTACGTATACCACGGTTTAAAAAACAAAAACGAACCTTTTCTTATAGAATTAATATCTTAATTTCTATGGCACTTTGAAATCCAAACAGCTTGAGTCAATATCAAAATAGAACAAGAAAGCTTTTTTGACAGGAGATGTTGGCGTCAAAGATAGAGTAAAGTTTCAAGTCGAATCCGTTATATTCACTTACGTGCTAATACTCTTGGGAAATGTATGAATCATCTTCTCTCCCCCCCCCAGCTATAGGTAAATAGCAGGGCAGACCGGGTTCTATAGCTTTGATTGGCAATTGGTCTACTACAGAAAGTAATTGCAACTTACTGCGGGAAAAAAAAATCTGCCTCGTCAGTTATGTATCGAAAGATACATGATCGCTTAAGCGTGTATCCCGCGTGGCACAAAACTGACTGAACTGTGTGAGAATTGCAGAGATTGTGGAATCTGAAAATGACGGTCGTTCCTGTCGTTACTGGCACACTTTGAACAGTTCCGAAGAGACTTGAAAAATTCGAAATCAGAAGAAGGCTTGAAAATGTCCATATAACAGAATTACCAAAATCACATATAATACTTTAGAGTAAAATGAAACTTGTTGTCAGGTCATTGTGAAATCACTCGACTTTGCTGCAGACACCAGGGAAAAATAATAATAAAATGATGGATAATCAAGTGTATATGTGTCTGCTAAATATTAAAAGATGACCTAAGAATTATATTTAACAGAATGATTCTTCTTCTTCTTCTTCTTCTTCTTCTTCTTCTTCTACTACTACTACTACTACTACTACTACTCTCTTTCCTTCTCTCTCTCTCTCTCTCATTATATTACGTGACAACTCAGAACGTAGGCGATGATGGCTATCACAATTTTCCCATCGCTTGCAGTTCTAAATAAATTGTATTTTCTTTATTTCTAAACCTTTCCTAAAACCATCCATTTTCTCAAGTTCGTCAAGTAGGTTATGAGTTTTTTCTTTTTTTATTCTTCTGTCCCTCTTGTCTTCAATTTTTTTTTCAGGTGAGTAACAAATTTTCCAAATGCGATCCAGAAATTTCAACTGTCTTTTTCTGATGTTATGCACAAGTTTCTTTTTTCTCTAAAACCTCGTCGTTTTTCACATGTTCGGTCCATGCTATCCTCACATTTTTCTGTAGAAAAAAAAAATTTTTGTTGCTTCGTGTCTTTTCTTCATCTTTGAGAAAATTGTCCAGCATTTACTGCCATAAAGTAAGAAAGATATCACGTAGAAGTTCAGTATTCTTTTCTTTGTTTTCGACGAAATTTTCTGACTCTTAATACTCTGCTTAACTTTTGGAAGACATTTTTTGGCAATCCCAATGCGTCTTCGGATTTCAGTGTCGCATTTTCCGTCTTCTGTTAGAACAGTTCCCAGAATTAAATTTAAATTTTTGTGCTTGGTTGAATTTTGTATCTTCGATTTGCAATTTGGACTCATTCTTTTGGTATCAACCATGCATTCTGTCTTTTTGCAAGTCTTTCTGTAAATGTTCTTGTAGTTTCCTTCCCGTGTCTGATATCCACACTGTGTCATCTGCATATATGATGCTAATACTGAATCCTGATAGTACATCTGATTCTCTTAGAATTGCCCCACTGTATAGATTAAATAAGTCCTGTGAGAAAACATATTATTGTCTTACACTCCTTTCTAATTTTGTATATCTGCTTACTATTAATACTAATAGTAACAATAATAATACTATTACGATTATTAATATTGCTTGACTATATTATATTGATTTTATTTTTGCGTGTGTGTTGTGTGCGTGTCAACGTAATTCAACAAAAAATGTTACATCGTAGTGCATTTTTGTTCGCGCAATACCTTTAATATGTTGTAAGTTGGATAATAAAGCAATTTCAAATCTAATCTAGCCATCATTTTCTGAGTGAATTTTAATTAAGTATAAATTGACAGAAACGTCTCTGCAAGAGAGATAGCTTTATGTTTAAACTTAAATTAAGGATTAGTTTAAAGAGTTCATTTCCTGAGTTTTCTTTATAAGTAAATAAGGAGAATAAGCAGAGCAGAATCCTTGACATATCCATACTCGTCTAGTTGTATGCCATAATAGCGTGAGAGTGACAATACGATAATAATAATTACTCTTAATAATTAAAGTTAGTGATAAACGGACTTCACAAATAATAAAATTTCAGGTAATAGGAAGTGATTTGATATCGAGCAGAGGCCATCGAAGCCGACATTTAAGCGTGGAATCATAATAGTAAGAAGAAGAAGAACAACAACAACAACTACAACGACAACAACGTTTACTAACAAACAGATTGACCAATCTTTAAATTAAATGCTTACTTAATCACTATTGACAAAGCGAGAGGATTCCAACTGATGCATTAACAAGGTCGCTTCGGGCTGAACGCAAATGTGACAGAAAACGACATACTACAGAATTAGGACATTTCAAGCGACAGCCATTTCCGGGAAACCTTGCTTCATTCAGTAGAGTTTTAAATCCCCAAAGAGAAAACCAGTAGCAATCGAACTGTGATCAAGAACGGGGAGAGGAAAAGACGACACGAGCGTGTTATTATATCGCAGCGGACAAGAAATTTCTAGATCCACAAACTCACCATTAAGACACGCTGATATGACTTCTTGAATAATTAATATAAACCATGGCAACGATTTCAGTTGGTCCACAAATGAAAATGCGTAATTATATATGTATGTGCAGATAGTGTAATGGTGAGCAACTCAAAACGAGAAATCTGCAAGCTAGATTCGAATTCAAGACGTGTTCGTTAAACCCACTTTCGCCCAAATATGCTTTAAAAGGTAGGAAGCAACAAGGACACATGGCGCAGTGGATAAAGGCGTTAGTTACATCCAGTGACAGGACCCAAAGCGTGTGAGTTCAATACCTGATTAAGGCGGTGGAGAACTTGGAGAGGGGAATTAACTGATAATTGACATCTATTAGACACGGTGGAGGCACGGTGGAGTAATGGATATCGGCTTGGATTGAGGAATCGGAGAGCCGAGTTCGAATTCCCGTCGAATCCATTACATTCACTTACGTGCTTGGGAAAGATATAAATCCTCTTCTCCTTCCAGCTAAATAGAAGGACAGACTGGGTTCTATAGCCTTGGATGGCAACTGGTCTAGGAGAAGGGCGACTCTAAATTCAAAACCGGATGGTCGTTTGGGGACCTTGGCCGTAGTGCATATATTCGGCCCTTCAAAAGTGTGGATGGTCCTGCAAAAACCTTCACCTATAATCAGTTCTCATATGCAGTTGTCGGGCTCTCGGTTTCCTGGGAACTGATTTGCTTGACTCTCGTACGTCGGATTCGACGGAAGAGTCGAATAATATCGAATTAGACATGGCACGTGGAACTAGAACACTGAGCGAGATAATGGGTTCAGTTCGATATTCCAACCATCTGATGAAGGCCGGAGCGTACAACGGCGGAAATGTTGTGATAAATATGGCGGCAAAAATGAGGACAATAATCTGAATAATGTAAATAGTGTACATAATACCTCATTTCAGAAATATAGATAGATACTGATGAAACAACATCTTCTCCCCCAGCTCTGGGTTAAATAGCAGACAAGGCCGGGATATATAACCGTGGTCGGAAAAGAGTTTAGAAGAAGAAATCTGAACTAAAACAAATATATCTGGAAATAATTAGACATGGGGTGCAGATAATATGAAGTTAGAAAAAAAGATTTCAACAGCTATGGATAATCCATTGATTACCCAGAATGCTTTTGACACCAACAGGCACTGAGGTGAATGGTTAACAACAAGTTTGCATCCATCGTCTTAATGCAAAAACAAAACAAACATTTATTTCACACGAGATATATGTTGTGATATATAATCTGATTTTTGTCAATGCACAGCGGTAATTACTGATTTTATAAATAGTATACAGTGAAAATTTCGGATAAAAACTTAACGAATATCATGTTACGACCATATTGATACACCTTGGAAAATTGTTATAATAAATGCTTTGATTCGATTTTTTTTCCTGAGATTGAGCTCTTTCGATAAGTTTCTGTTGCTGATGCGTCGTAAATAATGACAGTCAGTTATGTGCCATGCGTGATACACGCTTAGGCGATCATGTATCTTTCGATACATGACTGACGAGGCAGATTTTTAGGCGCAGTAGTTTGTCATTTCATTCTTAGGTAGACCAATTGCCATGTAAGGCTATAGAACCCGGTCTGTTCTGCTATTTACACATAGCTGGAAGGAGAAGACTATGATTCACACCTATCCCAAGGGTATTAGCACGTAAGTGAATGTAATGGATTCGACTGGAATTCGAACTCGGTCCTCCAATTTAATGACACTACATATAATTTAAAGAAAAAACTCTTAAACTGAAAGAATGATATAAAAAGTTCGAACAACTTTTAGAAGCATAATGAAACTCCCGAAAATTAAATAATAAATAAAAAACTGATTTAATGTTAGATTACTTACAAGACCCTTATGGAGAGGCAAGTAAAAAAGTTCGACAATTCGCAGAATATTGAAAATACGGATACCGCTTGATAAAGATTTCCTAAGCGTAGATTAGATGTGGCGCAAGGCCAAAAGTATGAAGATCCCAGTAGGAAACGAACTCACTTCTAAATTGTAATTGATCTAACGAAACAAGCTCGCTAACTACGTTGAAATAACCAGAGTTGGATTTTTATACTTGTTTTTGCTAAATAAAACATTTTAAATAACACCCTAACCTGGAGGCAACAGCAAGCATCAATAAACTCCAAAACTGAAACTTATTCAAGAAAAATGAAAAAAAAATTATCTACTTCAACTATTTGGATGTCACGCCGTGGGGACAAAGGTTTGCAAACTGCTAAGTTTTTGTTTTTTATAATGTCTATCTATTGTAGAGATTTGGAAGCTGACAAGATTTGTCTGGCACAAGTAAAGACTTGGGGAGCGAACTCAGTAGAGTAATTAGAAGAAAGACTACTCTCCTCTATTAGATTGGAAATACAGTTAGGTATCTGTATTCTAAGATCGCTGATTGATTTATATATCAGGATCAATTACAAATTCAATCAAGTCAGTAGTTTCTTTCATTTTTGATGATATAATCACATTGCGCGAATATATTATTAATAAGCTGACCATAAAGCCAAAAACGTCTCTGTATTTTTAAACACTTTCCTAACTGATACACCGTTTCCCGTCCAAGAAATAGTGTAAAGATTTGTAAATGAGATAATACGAAAGACTAAAATCGGGAGGGTAGTGTAACTGAGGTGAAACTTCCATATTTAGTATCAAAATCTTTTCATCTGTGATTTTTTTTTTTTTAGTTGTCCTCCAAGAGGAACGGCTCTCTCTCTCTCTCAACGCCATCTTTTTCAAGAAAAACATATTTAATGTTTCTATTTGACATCCTTTTCACAATTTACTATGGCATTACAATTCAACATTTCGTAATAGAAAACGACTTTCATGTCCTATCAGCCAGAAAGCATTAGCTTCTCATTCTTTGAAAAATGTCACCCAACATGGCTGATACTAGGCTTATGGACACATCACGTTTAAATATCGGTTCCCGTAGGATCAATGAAGTTAAGCCACGTCGAGCATGGTTACAACATAAGATAGTTAACCGATTGGGAATAGCAGTTGCTGTAAGCTTGGATGTGCTGTTAGTGTAATGGATAATGGCTCGGAATGGTTAATCAGAGATCCAAGTTCGAATTCCCGTTGGGTTTGTTATATTCACTTACTCGCAAATACTATTGGAAAAGGTTTGACTCCGCCTTTCTTCCCCCCAGATATGGGTTCATTATTAAGATTTGAATCCCAAACTCATTATTATCCAAAAAAATTCTTGGGGAGAAAATGATTAAAAAAAGATACATTTTATAATATAAGACGATAATAAAAAATGAATATTTGAATATTTGTCTCTAATAACATTTTTATTTAAATTTTGATTTGTGTCATGTTTATTTTGAAAGACTTAAAAAGGAAATTTCTGAGTTTTTGTTAAAAAAATGGATGATTTCATTAGATCCAGAAATTTACATTTATTAAGAGATATCGAAATATAAAAGATGCATAAACTATGGAAAGATTATAAATAAAATGTTCAGTTTAGAATAATAATGATTATGATACGTTTGGAAAATCTGAAGGGGCTAATTTCTCAGTACCGCCAATTATAGGAAGAAAAGAAAAATTACCATACGGCAAACCACTCTAAATAATATTTTCATAAACAATCAGATTAATAAACATTAATTCATAGCATTTTCATTGTATCTTCTAATATGTACCTATATTTTAATTGAAAAGTACACAAACTAGAAATTAATTGTGAATGAGACTAAAATTATGGCTACAAATTACATCATTTCCTATAAGTTATTATATTCGATTAAGGCGTTTTCGATTACTGCGTATCTTTTAATACCAGCCGCACTAATCGAGGCGTTCTTAAAATCCTCTGTAACTATGGACTTCTCATGGCACCAGTCAGTGTTTTTGAGAACAACTTGCTCACTGTTATTCTAGAAGAACCATAGTATCTTACTATGCTTATTTTTGTCTGATACAAAGATTGGAGGCTTGAAGACTATTTTTAATCATTCCACTCCAAACAAGTCAATAAAGCCACTAAGATGCAGAGAGATACTGCATGGAAAAGATTGGTTTGGTTTGTTTTGTTTTACGGCATAAAAATGGCTAGATAAAACTGTAAGTTTTATGCAATGGGTTATTTAATGCCGACAAAATTTTCATTGCTGTTAATATTCTGTTTTGTCAAGAATCTATTTCTGGTAATATTTTTTTTCCAAAAATGTACAGCTGATAATAGTTTTTTTCTTCGAAAATTTATTGCAGGAAATAATTTTTTTACAAAATATTTCTGGTATTAAAACTTGTTTTTACATTTTCCTTGTGTTCTTACCCCAGTTTCGGGATTAACTATTTGCCCATAGCTGGGACCTTAACAGGTGCTACCACCCTGGGCCAGGACGGACCTAGGAAAACCAGAAAATAAGATGTGGTTCCACGCTCCCCAAAACCTCCTGATCAGAGGCCTTGCTGTTGGACGTAGTTTATCGTCTTGCCCAGGACGGGCATGGAAAAGAATATAAGAAAACAAAATACATTATTAAGGAGTGAGAACAATAAAAGTCCACGAATTAAGAAGACAGAAGCTAATGATTGACATTGCATTTAAATATATGAATATCATAGTTGATTGGAACAAAGAAATCGAACGGGTATTTCACAAGCAAGAAGTGCAAGAGAAGAAACTGTTAGCATAGAACTTACAGTTATATCTAAGCAATTCAAGTGTAAGCTACCCACCCATAAATTTGGGTGCTGACTGGTCAAATAGAAAGACAATTCTGAATGCAAATCCTCCAACTATGTGTTAAAGGGCCGCATCAGCTCGCAGTTGGTCATGTGTGGGGCCTACTGTTGTTGACCATATTCACCATAGTCTATGAATCTAGAATACAGCGCAGTACGTAATCTGTTCAATAAAACAACGTTAAAGATTAACACTCACGAGTCAGACACTCTATTGAATCTGACTATATCGCCAATACCACCAGCAGCTGTTCCGTAATTCTTCAGTCTTCGATATCAAAGGCTGATAGTGATATTTAGCTCCCCCCCACGAGGGTTACATGTGGCACAAGGCCGGGTTTAACGTGGGATCTCCGAGCCCGTAGGCTCGGCCAAAAATATTCCCTATTCGAACGGGTTCAAGGGCAGTCAACCTCCCCGAACGAGACACTGCCCTTCGGCGGAGCCGCGTCCGGGTTATCAAAGGCTGGCAGTGAGTATTCGGGAAAAATATGGCCGCCTTTATACACGTCGCATTGAATATTTTTGAGCCTTCTGATTGGTTAATTCTTCTATTGGTGAACTCTAAAATGAGTCAGCTCATTTTGGTTGGCTCACTAGTACACCATGCTACCCCAAAACTCCAACAACTGTTGCACCACTGAAAACATGTTCAATCAGACAGGAGTTCCTCCAACAGAATTGAGAATATTCTGGATTTAGGATCCGATGTACTTTCGGTACATTTCCACATCCCCCTGTCTCTTATAATTCTTAATAAATTTTGCTTTGCTGTTATTTCTCCTAAGGCCTGTTCCGTCATACATTTACTCAAGCTCACTAAATATAATTATTTCCTGTTTCTCTTGCCCTCTAACTGCCCTGTGAGTATCTAGTACTACGCTCAAAAACATAAAGTCTCGTTACCAGAAAGGGAGGGTATGAACAACAGTCAGCAAAACTACCTGAGAAACCACTGCTCTAGGGCATGAATCACAGGATTATAGATTTCTCCAAACATGCCGTATCCCTACAGGGCATAGGAAATTATGACTCTTCACAGCTTCTTTTTCGTTATCCATTAATTTCTTGTTGTTTTAAAAGATTTCTCCTGTGTACAATTGTTTGAATAGAGATCCATATTTAATTAAAATGAAGGCTTATCGGCCTAGATCATACGAAGACTTATTAAAGAAAATTCCGGAAGGTATTTTTTCTTTAATAAAGTTTTGATCATCTTTCTTCGTAGATTTTAAATTAACTCTTTGAACAGGATGTATTTTCAAACACGTGTACCCACTAAAATAACATATAAAGTAATAGTAATATATTGCTGGATTGAAAAACTGCTATGATTTCGTAGTCGACTGGTTTCATTTTGCCTTCTCCACCGTTCTAAATTCAGAATAATGCTTCTTCAAAATTAGATGCCACTCAAAGCTAGAGTACCCTGCTATTTTCACCTATGCCATTAAAATTAACCTTTTCTTGTTGATTCTACATTGCTTCTTTCTTATTGTCGGTGATTTGCCACGTCTCTTATAAATAAATAATATATACATAAATAAATAATATATAAATAAATAAATAATATATATATATATATATATATATATATATATATATATATATATATATATATATAAATATGTATACATACATATATATATATATGTGTGTGTGTGTGTGATTAATTTTATTCCAACTTGTATAACAAACACACGTACACACACACACACACACACACACACACACACATATATATATATATATATATATATGTATGTATGTATGTATGTATGTATGTATACATGGATAATATAAGAACAAACGGAGTCCGTAGCCTTTAATTTTAAAATGAGGTCTCAATACAGAGTAGAGATTTATGTTATTTAATTTCTTACAAATAAATAATATATACATATAAATAAATAATATAAACATATACATATATGTGTGTGTGTCTGTGTGTGTGTGCGTTGTAAATGAACAGGGTGTCTTTTGAAATACGTGTGCCCACTACAATAATGTTTACAGTAATACTAAAATATTATTGGATTGAAAAATTCAATTAATTACCTATCTATTAATTGCTATGATTTCTTCGTCGACTGGTATCATTTTGCCTTCTCCAGCGTTTTGAATTCAGAATAGTTCGTCCCCTAGATAAGATGTCACTCAAAGCTAGAATACCCTGCTATTCTCACCTATGCTATTAAAATTAACCTTTTTTCTCATAGGATCTACATTGCTTCTTCCTTCTTGTCGGTGAAATGATACAGGCTTAGGCGATCATGTATCATTCGATACATGACTGACGATGCGGATTTTTCTCGCTGTAGTTTGCCATTGCTTTCTGCGGTAGACCAATTGCCATCCAAGGCTATAAAACACGGTCTGTCCTGCTATTTGCGCATAGATGGGGGGGAAGAAGAGAATTCATACCTTTCCCAAGGGTATTAGAACGTTCTGGAATTCGAAATCCGCTCCCTCATTCCACAATTCCAGCAGCTATCTATAACTACACCGTGCCTCCTCGCCTATTCGTTTTTTTTTTTTTTTCGTTTTTGTTTTTTTTCTTTCTTTCCTCCTCAAGTCATTTGTTGGCGATTCCAAATAATGTACGTTCTAAACTAACATAAAAAGAAATTAGGATAAAATTAGGAAGAAACGTGTTTTTTTTTTTTTTTTTGTTTATTTTTTTATTAAAAATAGAAAAGGCTAGTAGTTAGTTATACGAGGCATCTGAGAGTCTTGACAGATTTCAATACACATTATTCGTTCTTCCTTCCGTTATCTTTTCTTTCTATCCTACGCTTCCATCTGGAGGAGTTTCAACTTAGTCGATCCAAACGTGCTCGCTTGTTCAATATTAGGTGATGTACGTGATGAATTTTCTGATTCTTCAGATTTAACGCGTGCACGCGAGTGTGCTGGCCATATTGGGGTCGCGTTTTTACAAATTGGTGAAATAGATTTTTTTGTTTCGTGTCTGTTTAAAATTGGGAAATATAAAGGCTAGCGATTTAAGTTCTTCTTGAACTACATCAATACAATGTTTAGAATGTGGATTAATAGAATTATGAAAGGGGGTGACTGAAAGAACATTGTGCTACTAAAGGGGGAGACAGTGGATAAGAAACGAATTACCGTGAAAACATATAAGGTGCAAAAGAAAAAAATAGATTAGAACTTAGATAGATAGATAGATAGATAGATAGATAGATAGATAGATAGAGACAGACTAATAAAAAAAATAGATACTTATATTTCAAATCACCTATCTATTTATCATATATTTTTCTATCTATCTATCTATCTATCTATCTATCTATCTATCTATCTATCTATCTATCTATCTATCTATCTATCTGACCAGGTCTGTTCACAAACATTTATCTCAATATATTCATTATCTATTTCTCTCTCTCTTTCTTTTTCTTTCCATCTGTCAAATCGGGTCTATTCACAGCTATCTATCTATCTATCTATCTATCTATCTATCTATCTATCTATCAATCTATCTATCTATCTATCTATCTATCTATCTATCTATCTATCTATCTATCTATCTAGGCGTGGTTTATTTATTAGATTTGAATTTAATATCTTGTTAAATTACTTCTTTGTTTTTTATAATAAAACTAGAAAAAAGTGAACTCATATTTGAGAGTGATAAAAAACAAAAACTCTCTCTCTCTCTCTCCTCCCTATATATATATATATATATATATATATATATATGTGTGTGTGTGTGTGTGTGTGTGTGTACATATTTATATACTGAGATAGAAAATGGATAGTTTTAAATACATAAATATATACATACAGCTATATGTGTACTTATATGCATGTATATTTGTCGTATTTATATACATGTAAATACTTTGCATGTATGCATTCTTACACACACACGCATATATGTATATATATATATATATATACATATATATATATATATGTATATATATATATGTGTGTCTATGCATATATGTATATATATGTAAATATCTACATACGATCATGATTAAGCGACAACTTTAGATTTGTAGATAGTCATATGAACGAAGCTATATGTCTATTTATTAATATATATATATATATATATATATATATATATATATATATATATATATATATATATATGTATGTATGTATATATTTATATACAGAAAGAGAGGGATAATGTGCATGCGTGTGCGATAGGGAGAAATATATATATATATTAATAACTATATGAAATTGACAGGTATATATGTTTATATATATGCATACAGTTTAGAATGTGGGCACAGGCATATAGATATATTGCTAGCTAATGTATATATTTGATTTTAATTGAATATATTTACTTATTATTTTGAAATCATTGTAAACTTTCGTCTAACGAAGGGATTGTATTATATGCATCGCTGAAAATAAAATGAAATCTCGCATTCTTGTTGAAAAGAAATAGATGTATTTACTGAGCCATCGCTAAAAAATAGTTTCTATGTATGCTTATATATAAGAGTCGAAATACAGATAATAAACGTTTTATCAAATATATCGATGTACAGGAGTCGATGTACAGGAGTCGATGTACAGGAGTCGATGTTAAGGCAGTCGGCAGCGTTATGAGTATATTGTCATATTCAATTACTTAGTCGAATAATATTAAAATATGAATAAACAGGAGGTAAGAAGAATGTACTGCTTCAAATCCCCAAGTAGCGACGATTTATACTTCATAAGCTATCATATATATATATATATATATATATATATATATATATATATATATATATATATATATATATATATATATATAATAGCCGATTTCGAATTCCAGTCGAATCCATTATATTCACTTACGTGCTTATACTCTCAGGAAAGGTATAAATCCACCTCTTCTCCCTCCAGCTATGGGTCAATAGCAGGACAGACTGAGTTCTATAGCCTTGGATGGCAACTGGTCTAGCAGAAGGACAACTCTGAATTCAAAACCTGCGGAGGGTCTTGTGACATGTAGTGTACCAGGTATTCGGCCCTTGGTTCAACACAAAACCCTCACCACTATAATCAAATCATATGTGCTTGTGTCTGGTGTCTGGTGTCTGGCTGTCGGTTCCTAGGAACTGAGTTGATCCTCATACGTCGAATACGACGGGAGAGTCCACCATCCATGATATATATATATATATATATATATATATATATATATATATATATATATCCGATGCAATGATAACGAAACTAATATATAATTCTAACTTTTCTCATTAATCCTAATGAGGGCTCGATACCGATAGTAGAGCGATAAGTATTTATTATAATTTTATCATATAGAGAAAAAGACAGTTGACTCACTACAAAAATGCAACTTCGTTTCGGTGCATTTCAATTGCACTTCGACGCGTGAGTAACAAAAAGGGTTATGAACAATTCTGCTTGTAAGCAGGCCGTTTATGAAACGTCACTTCCTTTTTTTCCATTTGTTTGAGAAAAAAATATACATGAAGCAAGAAGGTGACGGAGTGAAACAAAATTGTTTGTTGATAGAAGTTTGGTGAAGGATTGATGGAGTGTTGAATGCTGGCTAGTCAGGGAAGATTCCTTACCGATAACCACGGTCAAAAGTTTAGGTACATCATCTCACAAGCGTCCTAAGACTGAGCAGTGGGGGAGGAAAGAAGAAATCACCACTTCTGAATTTACTAATTTACAAAACCCTTCCATTGATTACAGAATTAGTAGTGATAACTCCAACATAAATATATACAATTCAGCTTTAGCTTGTTTTTTTTATATATTAAACCAAAATTTTATTTTCAATATTTCATATGCATCCGATCCTTAGCTATGATTAATTAATGATGAACATGTCATTTTCCTTTATGATCGATTTCATCACGGTTCTTCTGTTAAGCTTGGAGAGTAATTATACATTCTTATTGCTCAAACTAGTGTCAAAGTCCAACAGTGTTATAAAAACCTTGGAGAATTCCAGTAAGATATCTTTAATCATTTATAAAACTAAAAGAGCTTAATCTAACAATTCGACAATTTTGCTGTTGCACCTAGTAATTCTGTGAAGGCTCGTTAACATTTCTGGTTATTAAAAAAATCAAGGCCAACCCTTTCTCCGATCATTTTCATGTGTATGAACTCTATAGATTACGAGATCTAAATCTGTAAAAGACGACTGCTGGAGAGTGAGAGAATTGAAGGAATCGGCAGATATTATTTGGATAGGCAGATGCGAATATCAGGCCTTTATGTGTTTCAGCTGAAAGTGCTGCTTTTGCGCAACATTAAACAAAGAAAGAATATCATTGCGCATTATACAGAGAGAAGTATTGTCTGCGAGACACGCTTTACTGGGAAGGAAACGAGGCGATCGTTTGTTAGCCACTATTTTGTTCTTTGGATTCATGCTTTTCCTTGAATGTCTAAAAGTGATTGAGACGAAAGAATCGATATGTTAATATGCGGGTCTGCAAGCATATGTTCTGGATCAAACACAGACAACCATAAGTATGAGATAAATATTTAGTATAAATATTATGTCACGTGACTGTATGTGGGGAGTAGTCATTGTGATAGAAATATGTCTGCATAATTGATTGTCTTAGATGATCAGCAATATCTCTACTGCGGGTCCAAATACATTTACTACGCTTTACTTAGGCTGTTACACGGATACAATTTTCGAGTACAATGGGGCGTATAAACTCAGGACATTATTTTGCTCCGTAACGCTTAACACACACACATACAAAGAATATACATGCATATAACACACACACACACACACACACACACACACACACACACACACACACACACACACATATATGTGTGTGTATGTATGTATGTATATATATATATATATATATATATATATATATATATATATATATATATATATATATATATATGAATTTTAATTATGCATGTATTTATCTGATATGTCCCGGAAAGGGATATATTTTTTCGAAGTAGCAAAGTGGTTTTGGACTACTGTAACCGGGTAAGACAGTCTAACAGGTAACCGTAATGGACTTGGTCCTCGTCGTAGTGGTAGGCAATAGGCGTACGCAATAGGCGTACGCAATAGGCGTCGTACTGTACCTCCACATCAGTCTCTATTTATGGCTGACACTAGCCAATCATATTACTGTGAGGGGGAACCTAGGTGTATGTATATTCATGACATCATTATCTATGTATCAATTTTCTATCTCTCTCTCTCTCTACATATATATATATATGTGTGTGTGTGTGTGTGTGTGTGTGAAAAGTGTATATAAATATGAATAAATATATATATATGTATAATTATTTATATATTATATGCGCGGTACTTATTAGAAAGCGCTCAATATCAGAGATAGAGCTAACATATTTGGTTGGATAGATGTGAGTTTGTTATATATATATATTTACGGGGTTTGGTCAAAAAGTAATTCTTTCAAATTTTCATGACGTTAGACTTAAGAAAACTAATAACAGCGATGTTTCACCTGGATTCCTTCCAGGTGGGCAAAGAAATTGCAACGATTTATATTCATCTGCTTTACGCTGAACACACAGAGTACGAAAGAGCAAAGTTAAAGCAGTGGGCAATGCTTCAATGCAATGGCGACACAGCTGGAAAGCGACAAGTCACATTTCTGACCGCCACATATAGCTGTCAACATACGAAATGGAGATAGTGACAAAAAAAAAAAAATATCATAAACAATGGAGTTGACAACATGGAAAAAGCTGTTTCAGAAAGCACCTTTTTCACTTACTTCCAAAACATGAAAACTTTATCCAAACGACTTTTTTGTCATTCCTGTTATCTGTTACATTTTTCGCGGAGACATGATGTAGATGTATTCCTTCAACGGCATCCTTCACTCACACACACACACACACACACACACACACACACACATATATATATATATATATAATTGCAGATATATCTACGTTTACAGTACGATTCAGAGTTTTATGGTTTACTCATTTATCAGATCCAAAAAATTCATTTCTGTACCTGATGAATGGGTAAGTCATAAAACTCTGCGTCGTACTGTAAACGTAGGTATATGGGTAATTATCAATATATATATATTATAGCTCAGTTTACCTACATTGAGCACCTTTTTGTCTACACCATTGATTAAATACCTGGTTTTTACTCACCTTCATATGTACGCAAATGCTCACATATATGGTTGATCATATCTATTTAATTAATTTCTAGATTTTATCTCTCTTTCTATCTCTCCCTTTCTCTCTCTCTCTCTCTCTCTATATATATATATATAGCATACCTACTATATATATATATATATATATATATATATATATATATATATATATATATATAGCATACCTACTATTGACGATAATGTGTATGTTTCCATACACATAAATACAGGAGTAAATGCTGTATTTTGGAGTGCAGTTAGAGATTCATTGTGGAATTCACTCGATTCACTTCTAACAGCTGACTACTTCATCTACGCGCCGCTGGCGAATCTTATGCGTTGATCTTGTCCTAAATATCATCGTTCGTTGCCAACCTTCGGGTGATTATTCTA